ACTGGACCCCTCGCTCCTGCAGGGCTGTGGAAAATCCTCTTGTGTATGACAGGTTACACAACGGAAATAGAGAACGAGGGAGAGGGGACCCCTATTATCTAGATCTAATCATGGGAGTCTTGGGAAGGAATGGGGGAACTTGACTTCCATTGATCTTAATGGTTTAAATAATCTAACAAGTAAATGTCTAATACCTATACCCATCTGTAGTGGGTTCAGGGATTTACTCACTCAAACACCCAGTCTTTTAGGTTTGCTTATCCTCTTTTCCTAATGTCTTTATTCCCCTGAAGCAAACTCCATCCTGGCAGGAGTCAACTTAAGCAACTCAGTCCCTAAACCAAATATTTATGCCACATGGGATCTTCTCCCAAACCCAAAGAGAGTCCTCAGGCACTGTTCTGCCATGAGTTGCCCACTCCCTCCCTCGTCCCTCTGGTCCCTTCAGCCACAAGAAGAGCTCACTTACAGTCTCTCTGCTTTGCTCATGGTCTTCTGGGAAAGAGGTACTCCTGGCATGATCCTCAGGTTCCTCTGTGAACTGCCCCATCAGCTTTGTCCCTCTCACTACTCTCATTTGCAGCTCAGTCTCTCCCTGACTGACCCTAGCATTGTTCCCTAGGAGCCTTTAACTTCCTAAGGGCCAGCTAATTATTTCCTACAGGTGGCCCAGTACTCGTAGTAAGTCTGCAATCATCACCTACCTGCTGCAGCTGGCTGCAGCCCCTGAAAGCATGCAGGCTGCTACAAGACCCCATAAAACATGTAGCCTGTTGCACAGTCCTTGCTCACCACTCCCTTTTCTGGTGTACACTACTGCCATCTTCCTCCTCTGCTTTGTCCATTGCTTAGGCTACCAAGGGCAGATCAATACAGACCTTGGACACTTCAGAACCTAAATTTTAGGCACTTGGCCCCCAGAAGTTAGGTGCTCAATGTATAAGTTGGGTGCCTATGCAGTGCATAAAGACAGCTAAGTGCCTAAGAAGGGTAAATCAAAAAATCTACATGCTGAATGGCTAGCCATAGAGCTAGCAAATAGGAAACACCAAGCACTGTTGCATTTTTTACTTCAGTGCCTGACTCTGGCCTAGAGGTAGACACCTCCATTTGGACTCTAGAGCTGGAAGTCCTTTCTTGTAGGCTTCTACAAGTATGATTTGGGCAGAAAAAAGTGAGTTGTATTTAGAATCCCCTCAACCTGAGGAGGACATAGCACCCAGGACCGCCACCTTTGGACAACTGATCTAAACACTGCAGTACAGTGTAGATGTGGGTAGGCAACAGGTTTGCCACCTGCTGGTGTCTGGTATTGAGTGAAAGCAGTCACATCTGCTGCATTTTATACTGTATCTGGCACTGTCAGAGCACGTTAGGTGTGCCTTAAGTCAACATGCTGGATAGAGCCCCTCTGAGGACTTTGGCACTGCTTTTTCTAGTTGCTGGATCCCACTGGGGCTTATGTGGGAGCTAAGTGCCAATCTGCTCAAATCAAGGAGGTCCTGGTCATGAAAAGAAGGGACAACTCCAGGTACCTAGGGAACTTTCAGGTCAAAAAGAGATGCCTTCAGTTTAAGTACCTTCAGGATTAAGTGGTGGCTGAGCTGAGGATTTTGAGTTTGTTTCAGACTTGAGCACCTAATTTCTTTGGAGCCAGAACTGTGAAGCACCTACCACATACAAGTACTATAGAAATCCTCCTTTAAGAAAAGACTTGCCACTTTAAATTGTGCACTTGATATCTATATTTGCATCTTTTAAATTTATTTACTAAATAAAACACTACGCTGATCTTTTTATTGCTTCATTTGATGAAGTTTTAGGCTTCTAGAATGTATTTTTCCCCCTTTAGCAATAATGTACAAACTGTTCCTTTCTGTACCTTTGAGAGAAAAGCTACTTTTAGAAATGAATAGTTACCAGAAGCAACTGAATGTTGGTATCCAAGGTATCCTAGCTGTTTTCTATATCTGGAACAGAAACTGATTGTGTGGTATCCCAGATACCACTGCATTGTAACTTTCTCTTTAATGGCCTTTTCTTTTTTAGCATATGACTTGTCTTCCCAATAGTGCACTGTCAACTGATACATAATGTGGCTAAAACTAATATCCCAGTGTTTCCTCCCAAGCCTTTTCCATTTTCTGGAGAGGCTTACCCCATGCTCTTCATGATGGTCACAACTAGCATAAATTTTTTTGTATATAGGGTCTTTGTTTTCTTCATGATTTGTATTGACAAATTCTTGTGACCTATAAGAAACATAATGGGGGACTGTGCGCTATATCTTCCTCTCACCCTAAGTTTAAATAGGGACTTCCCATACCACAAGGCAATTGAATACTCATTTTGGAACCCTCTCTATGCTTTCATACTTCATATACTAGGGAGTGCATAGAAAAAAAATAGTCATTTTTTGTATTAATGTGATTGTATTTCTATTTTAGCGTTTAGATACTTATACCTTCCTCAGAGTCTAACTAAATATCTTTCAAGATGGAGTGGAAGAGAAGAACTGTGCTTTATTCCTGGCTAGGAAAATCATAGTCATTTAATGGCATGAGCCTAACATCCCCTCCAACTCTGGTCTTTGCCTGCCTTTGAGTTTTAGGATGCTATATTAGATTAGTGCTCTCATTGTACTAAGTGTATTCATTGTAGAGAGAGATTAGCTCTCTACAAGCCAGCCATTACTCTGGCAATTGAGCCCCCTCCCATAATGTATTAAGGGACCTAACTAGCATTTGTAAAGTGGGTCTTTCCCTTTATGGCCATATATGAAGTCTACTGTCCTCTGCTTTTGCACTCTATATTCTACCACTTACTGTGTGGGTACAAATACTTTTGCACAAGTACCTTCTAAAGCAATCTCAGCATTCATTTAGTAAGTTGAGCACTGGTTTAGTTGAAGGTCTAGAATATTTCCTTTCATCTTAAGTCTGACTTTTCAATAGGAAAAACTAGTTTAATAACCAGATTACCAACAAATACACTGTATGAAATCACTTTAATGCTGCTCAGTGAAAGTCACTGTTATATTCTGGGGAGGCAACCCCTTTCATCCATACAT